GCTCCTACGCACCATGCCTGGCGCCACAAGAACATTAAAATTCAAACAGCTGGTAAGGACACCAAAGTTTTCAAAATGAAGCAATGAAACGAATCTCATTTCCTATTGTGTCTAAACACTTTAGAAGAAAATTTAATGATTCCTCCCCCCCCCCACAAAAAAGAAAACTTTTGTTGATAAAAGGCTATTGAAATCGTGTTATTTTTAAAACCTACGTTAAGATCGAAAATATAAAAATTTTAATTACGTTTTATCTAAAAATCCATTAACAAAAAAGACCTTGTATTTCAAAAGTTTATTGATTTTCTTTTCAGCAATTATTTAATTTTTTTACAGTTATAGAAAGTGTAATAAAAGAAAGCAACCCGGCTGAACATGAGAAAGAAGAGAGCAGTTCCAAATCCACCTCAAATACAAGGAAATCACCTAGAGGTAAAGGTAAGTATCATTCAACAATACATTTTAGATTTTTCTTATCGAAATTCCTTTCTATTGTTCTTTGAACTGTAACTCTGCCCAAACTTAAATGACATAATATATTTTATTCAAAACATCCCATACATGACATTTGAATTCTACGCAAAATCGTTTAATTGTAATAAAAAGAGACGGAAAGAATATCTCCACTCTCTTAAAATAAAGTCGATTAAATTTTTCATCTTGTTTTCGAACTTTATCGTCAGAACAATTCGTAGCTCCGTATCGGGAAACTGGCTCATTATTTTAAGCTCAATTCTATGGAGTTTGTCTTTTTAAAATAATCTTGTAGTCCAAGGTAGACTGCAGCATGAAATTCATAGTTTAATTATTTTTATTAATTTTCTCCGCATTTGCTTTTTTTTAGGAATATTTTATTAGATTTATCTATTATGTTTTGTTAGATTTGTTGTTATATAGACATTTTATTTCATTAGATTTAAGTAAAATGCCTAATAACTGATTCTCAAATTTATGACAGAGGAATGATAAGGCAATTACTGTGTTTTCGAATGTTCTCCGGAGTTTTCCAGATTGTAACCAAAAATTCTGTAATTTCTAAGAACAACCTTAGTAACATTAGAATTTTACAAACATCACGTTCATCATAGTAAGAGTCTCCAAAAATTCGAAAAACTGAAGCACAACCACGTGATTACACAACCCTACCCTGTGATTAGTTGTAAGAACCTAATTGCAGACTGATTTTTCAGTAAAATAGCACCCAAGGTAGAACAACAGATTTATGCTCTTTGGTTCTCAGATGGCGCTGTAATATTGCACAGGTATTGCAGTGATTGTATGTATCAAGATATACACATCAAATAGGGAGAAAAATTGACAAGTTTGATGTCTTAAAACTTTCTAATGATGCTTTATTCGATCCCACCCCATCTGTGGCAGTCGTGTCAACCCTCAAGAATTTGCGTCCAGTTAGGTATCATTAATATCTTTTCAAAAAGTTTGTTTTTATTTTTTCAATCTTAATCGTATTTCTCGATCTCAACTTAAAACAGTTTTTATTTTGTGATTACAGCTGTGAATCACACTATAAGAGCTGATAAGTCAAATTAGGATATTCTGGCTCCGGAAATATCAAATCTGCAATAATGATAGCATATCTGTTTTAAGATTTTGAATTTGTCTTCCATTCCAGTCTTCCATTCTTACCTCTTCGTGAAGGGAGTTTGATTTCAGTGAAGACATATTTTAAAAATAGTTCACACGTGCAATTTTAGGTCTTGATATAATGCGTACAGATAATTGATAATTTTCACATCTTTCTGTCACCCTGTCCAGAAATGCCAACTGCTCGGGAATCGGCAATGTATTTTAAGATATGGTGGAAAACTACAAAGCAAAAAATGCAGGTAACTTTCAGAAATACTCAACATGGTTTAAAAATAACAAACTGGAGAATCGTACAAGCATTTCATATTTTATATCCGTCCATGAGCACAGTCTACCCAATTTTGGGTTTACGACTACTAATGCTCAACTCCGTAGCCTGGTAATTTTGAATCCAATCCAGAAGACAACTTAGAGCAAAAAAATTCACAGTGTGCATTTTTATTGATTTTGACTGTCAGCAAAATCAATTACCTTCCCCATGCTTACATAAGATTGCTTTTTTATACTTACATAAGAAGTTGTAATCCTTTCTCAAAGTTACTTTTTTCACAATAACGAAGAATTTTTTTTTTCTTTTTTGATAAAGAGAATTTAGTGTCTGTCATATGCAGTGTTCACACTTCCTAAATCCCTTTGTCAACAAAAATACGAAAGTCGCAACCGTCCTCGTGTAATATTAGAATTTGCCTTGAAGGGAATAATCACTAAATGCCTGAAATTTTTTTCTTTCGTTAATTTTTTTTGTCAGATATTACTGATTTTATCTTGAATACGTAATGTTTAAATTAGCTGCAGTAATGAATAATAACTCTCACATCATCAAACTATAGTTAATCCCCTTCTGTTTTACCTGAATGAAGGTTTTTACAAGAATTTTAAGGAAATCATCTTGATAATCCTGAAATTTCGGGACTTATCTTTTTCTCTCTAGTTAAAATTTCTAATTCGATTGATTTCGAAAATATAAACTATTTAAAAAAAGAAATTAAAATGTAAAATGTTTTTTGTGACTTCAATGAATATAATCAATTTCACAAACTATTAAAACATTAAAATTCAAACAGTTGGTAAGGACACCAAAGTTTTCAAGATGAAGCAAAGAAACGAATCTAATTTTCTATTGTGTCTAAACACTTTAGAAGAAAATTTAATGAATCCTCCCCCCCCCCACAAAAAAGAAAACTTTTGTTGATAAAAGGCTATTGAAATCGTGTTATTTTTAAAACCTACGTTAAGATCGAAAATATAAAAATTTTAATTACGTTTTATCTAAAAATCCATTAACAAAAAAGACCTTGTATTTCAAAAGTTTATTGATTTTCTTTTCAGCAATTATTTAATTTTTTTACAGTTATAGAAAGTGAAATAAAAGAAAGCAACCCGGCTGAACATGAGAAAGAAGAGAGCAGTTCCAAATCCACCTCAAATACAAGGAAATCACCTAGAGGTAAAGGTAAGTATCATTCAACAATACATTTTAGATTTTTCTTATCGAAATTCCTTTCTATTGTTCATTGAACTGTAACTCTGCCCAAACTTAAATGACATAACATATTTTATTCTAAACATCCCATATATAACATTTGAATTCTACGCAAAATCGTTTAATTGTAAAAAAAAGAGACGGAAAGAATATCTCCACTCTCTTAAAATAAAGTCGATTAAATTTTTCATCTTGTTTTCGAACTTTATCGTCAGAACAATTCGTAGCTCCGTATCGGGAAACTGGCTCATTATTTTAAGCTCAATTCTATGGAGTTTGTCTTTTTAAAATAATCTTGTAGTCTTAGGTAGACTGCAGCATGAAATTCATAGTTTAATTATTTTTATTAATTTTCTCCGCATTTGCTTTTTCTTTTTGGGAATATTTTATTAGATTTATCCATTATATGTTTTGCTAGATTTGTTGTTATATAGACATTTTATTTCATTAGATTTAAGTAAAATGACTAATAACTGATTCTCAAATTCATGACAGATGAATGATAAGGCAATTACTGTGTTTTCGAACGTTCTCCGGAGTTTTCCAGGTTGTAACCAAAAATTCTGTAACTTCCTAAAAAACCACCTTAGTAACATTAGAATTTTACAAACATCACGTTCATCATAGTAAGAGTCTCTAAAAATTCGAAAAACTGAAGCACAACCACGTGATTACACAACCCTACCCTGTGATTAGTTACACAACCCTACCCTGTGATTAGTAAGAACCTAATTGCAGACTGATTTTTTAGTAAAATAGCACCCAAGGTAGAAAAACAGATTTATGCTTTTTGGTTCTTAGATGGCGTTGTAATATTGCACAGGTATTGCAATGATTGTATGTATCAAGATATACACATAAAATAGGGAGAAAAATTGACAAGTTTGATGTCTTAAAACTTTCTAATGATGCTTTATTCGATCCCACCCCATCTGTGGCAGTCGTGTCAACCCTCAAGAATTTGCGTCCAGTTAGGTATCATTAATATCTTTTCAAAAAGTCTGTTTTTATTTTTTCAATCTTAAACGTATTTCTCGATCTCAACTTAAAACAGTTTTTATTTTGTGATTACAGCTGTGAATCACACTATAAGAGCTGATAAGTCAAATTAGGATATTCTTGCTCCGGAATTATCAAACCTGTAATAATGATAGCACTTCTGTTTTAAGATTTTGAATTTGTCTTCCGTTCCAGCTTCAATGGAAAATTTTCGTGATAGGAGTTTGATATCAGTGAAGACATATTTTAAAAATAGTTCACGCGCGCAATTTTAGGTCTTGACCCAATGCGTACAGATAGTTGATAATTTTCACATCTTTCTGACACCCTGTCCAGAAATGCCAACTTCTCGGGACTCGACAATGTATTTCAAAATACGGTAGAAAACTACAAAGCAAAATATGCAGATACCTTTTTGAAAGACTCAACATGCTTTAACAATAACAAAGTGGCGAATCGTACAAGCATTTCATATTTTATAGCCGTCCATGAGCAGCCTACCCAATTTTGGGTTTACGACTACTAATGCTCAACTCCGTAGCCTTGCAATTTTGAATCCAATCCAAAATTCAACTTAGAGCAAAAAAATTCACAGTGTGCCTTTTTATTGATTTAGACTGTCAGCAAAATCAATTACCCTCCCCTTGTTTACATAAGGATTTTTTTTCTTTTTTGATAAAGAGAATTTAGTGTCTGTCATTAGCAGTGTTCACACTTCCTAAATCCCTTTGTCAACAAAAATACGAAAGTCGCAACCCTCCTCGTGTAGTATGTGAATTGCCCTGTGAGAGTATACTATTAGAATACTTACGTGTTCCACAATCATTAAATGCCTTAAATGATTTTTTTTTCCTCTTTTGTTAATTTTTTTTGTTAGATATTACTGATTTTGTCTTGAATATGTAATGTTTGAATTAGCTAAGGGATAATAACTCTCACATCATCAAACTATAGTTAATCCCCTTCTGTTTTACCTGAATGAAGGTTTTTACAAGAATTTTAAGGAAATCATCTTGATAATCCTGAAATTTCGGGACTTATCTTTTTCTCTCTAGTTAAAATTTCTAATTCGATTGATTTCGAAAATCTAAACTTTTTAAAAAAAGAAATTAAAATGTAAAGTTTTATGTGAGTTCAATGAATATAATCAATTTCACGAACTATTGAATATATTTATTAGAACATTAAAATTCAAACAGTTGGTAATGACACCAAAGTTTTCAAGATGAAGCAATGAAACGAATTTCATTTCCTATTGTGTCTAAACACTTTAGAAGAAAATTTAATGATTCCTCCCCCCCTCCCACAANACAAAAAAGAAAACTTCTGTTGATAAAAGACTATTGAAATCGTGTTATTTTTAAAACCTACGTTAAGATCGAAAATATTAAAATTTTAATTGGGTTTTATCTAAAAATCGATTAACAAAAAATGCCCTGTATTTCAAAAGTTTATTGATTTTTCTTTTCAATAATTATTTAATTTTTTACAGTTATAGAAAGTGAAATAAAAGAAAACAACCCGGCTGAACATGAGAAAGAAGAGAGCAGTTCCAAATCCACTTCAAATACAAGGAAATCACCTAGAGGTAAAGGTAAGTATCATTCAACAATACATTTTAGATTTTTCTTATCGAAATTCCGTTCTATTGTTCTTTGAACTGCAACTCTGCCCAAATTTAAATGATATAATGTATTTTATTCAAAACATCCCATATATAACATTTGAATTTTACGCAAAATCGTTTAATTGTAATAAAAAGAGTCGGAAAGAATATCTGCACTCTCTTAAAATAAAGTCGATTAAATTTTTCATCTTGTTTTCGAACTTTATCGGCAGAACAATTCGTAGCTCCGTATCGGGAAACTGGCTCATTATTTCAAGCTCAATTTTATGGAGTTTGTCTTTTTAAAATAATCTTGTAGTCTTAGGTAAACTGCAGGATGAAATTCATTTAATAATTTTTTTTATTAATTTTCACCGCATTTGCTTTTTCTTTTTAGGAATA